CCCCCCAGGTGTCTCGCGGGGGGTGGGCTTCATCCGCTTCGACAAGCGGGTGGAGGCGGAGGAGGCGGTTCGGGGGCTGCACGGCCAGAAGCCCTTGGGCGCCGCCGAACCCATCACCGTCAAGTTCGCCAACAGCCCCGGCCAAAAATCGGGGGGGGCCCTGCTCAGCCTCTGCCCCAGCGCCCGCCGATACGGGGGGGCCCTGCACCACCCCCCACAGAGGTTCCGGTGAGTTCCCCCGGGAGAGAAACCCAGGAATGGGGTCATCTCCCAAGAGATGGGGTCACCACGGGGTGGAGGAACATCTCTAGAACCTTGAGGACAACCTACAGCCATGAGATGGGGCCACCATGAGATGGGGGGAGACCTCTAGAACCATGGGGACAACCTTCGGGGCCACCATGGGGTGGGAGGAGACCCCTAGAACCACGAGGAGACCTCACACCCAGGGGATGGGGTCACCACTGGGCATGAGGACACCCCCAGCACCACGAGGAGACCCTACACTCAGGGGATGGGGCCACCACGGGGTGGGGGGAGGGGCCACCATGGGGTGGGAGGAGACCCCTAGAACCACGAGGAGACCTCACACCCAGGGGATGGGGCCACCACGGGGTGGGGGGACATCTCTAGAACCATGAGATGGGGCCACCGCTGGGCATGGGGACACCCCCAGCACCATGAGGAGACCCCACACCCAGGAGATGGGGTCACCACAGGGTGGGGGGACATCTCTAGAACCATGAGGACAACCTCCCCCTATGAGATGGGGCCACCACGGGGTGGGGGGACATCTCTAGAACCATGAGATGGGGCCACCACTGGGCATGGGGACACCCCCAGCACCATGAGGAGACCCCACACCCAGGAGATGGGGTCACCACAGGGTGGGGGGACATCTCTAGAACCATGAGGACAACCTCCCCCTATGAGATGGGGCCACCACGGGGTGGGGGGACATCCCTAGAACTATGAGGACACCCCCAAACCCAGGAGATGGGGTCACCACAGGGTGGGGGGAGACCTCTAGAACCATGGGGACAACCTTCTCCCATGAGATGGGGCCACCACAGGGTCGGGGGACCATGAGGACACCCCACACCCATGAGATGGGGTCACCACGGGGTGGGGGGACATCTCTAGAACCATGAGATGGGGCCACCACTGGGCATGGGGACACCCCCAGCACCCTGAGGACACCCCACACCCAGGGGATGGGGGTCACCACAGGGTGGGGGGCCACCTCTATGGCAAAGAGACCCCCCCCACATGGTCACAACCCCCATGTCCCCACCGGTGTCCTCTTGTCCCCTCCAGGCTCGACAACTTGTTGAACGTGGCCTACGGTGTGAAGAGGTAACGGCCCTTCCCCACCTCGTTCCTCTCCCCTCCCCGTCCCCCCCTGCACCCCCAGACCCACATATGGGGCTGGAGAACCCTGATGAGACCCAACCCTCGTGTTCCTGGGGGTGGTGGGACCTGGTGTTGGGACGCCCTGACCCCAGGCCAGCCCCTTCTCGCTGTTGCCCAGGTTCTCCCCGTTGGCCATCGAGGCGGTGCCGGGATTGGCCGGGGTTGGTTTGGGGGCCCCCAGCGCCGGTTGGTGCATCTTCGTCTACAACTTGGCACCCGAAGCCGACGAGAGCGTCCTCTGGCAGCTCTTCGGACCTTTCGGGGCCGTCACCAACGTCAAGGTCATCCGGGACTTCGCCACCAACAAGTGCAAGGGCTTCGGCTTCGTCACCATGACCAACTACGAGGAGGCGGCCATGGCCATCGCCAGCCTCAACGGCTACCGCCTGGGCGACCGCGTCCTCCAGGTCTCCTTCAAGACCAGCAAACAGCACAAGGCCTGAGCCCCACAACCTGCCCCCCAACCAACCCCGGCCATCGGGTGTCCCCCCAAGAACCACCAGGATATGGGGACCCCCCCATGAGGAGACCATGGAGAACCCCAACCCAACCCGACACCTTGGAGACACCTTCCATGGGCACTGAGGACACCGTGGGGGGCACCCCAAAGACCATGGAGAACCCACCTCCTCAACCCAACCCCTTGGACACCTTGGGGACACCTTCCATGGGCACTGAGGACACCGTGGGGGGCACCCCAAAGACCATGGAGAACCCCAACCCAACCCAACCCCTTGGACACCTTGGGGACACCTTCCATGGGCACTGAGGACACCGTGGGGGACACCCCAAAGACCTTGGAGAACCCCAACCCAACCCAACCCCTTGGACACCCTCCATGGACACTGAGGACACCATGGGGGGCACCCCAAAGACCATGGAGAACCCCAACCCAACCCCTTGGACACCTTGGGGACACCTTCCATGGGCACTGAGGACACCGTGGGGGACACCCCAAAGACCTTGGAGAACCCCAACCCAACCCAACCCCTTGGACACCTTGGGGACACCTTCCATGGGCATCGTGGAGACCTTGGAGACCCCCCACCACCACCACAGCCCCCGAGGACACCGTGGGGGGCACCCCAAAGATCTTGGAAACCCCCCACCATCCCCGCAGCCCCCCAAGAACACCATGGGGGGCACCCCAAAGATCTTGGAGACCCCCCACCACCACCTCATCCCCTGAGGACACCGTGGGGGGCACCCCAAAGACCTTGAAGACCCCCCACCACCACCACCAGAGCCCCCGAGGACACCATGGGGGGCACCCCAAAGATCTTGGAGAACCCCAACCCAACCCAACCCAACCAACCCGACATCTTGGAGACACCCTCCAAGGGCACTGAGGACACCATGGGGGACACCCCAAAGACCTTGGAGACGCCCCCCCACCACCTCATCCCCCGAGGACACTGTGGGGGGCACCCCAAAGACCTTGGAGACCCCCCACCACCACCACCAGAGCCCCCGAGGACACCAGGGGGGCACCCCAAAGATCTTGGAGAACCCCAACCCAACCCAACCCCTTGGACATCTTGGGGACATCCTCCATGGGCATCATGGAGACCTTGAAGCCCCCCCCCCACCACAGCCCTCGAGGACACCATGGGGGGCACCCCAAAGACCATGGAGAACCCCAACCCAACCCCTTGGACACCCCCTCCATGGGCATCGTGGAGACCT